GGATAGTCTCACTAGCACTTACTTCACAGGTATTAAATAAGGAACAATAAACAATACTACAATAAACAATGCTAAACAATACCAGGAAAAATTTGCTCCATCATACTTCCACCTCAAGAAATAAAACATTATATAAGATATTCTGTCCGAACTTGATGCTAAGAGGCTGCTTGTTTTTTAATGATCTGGGCAATCATGGGTCTGAAAATTTTTTTTGAATAGTCCAATATCCTTACTTAAAGTTGTATAAGAATTTACCAAGCAACTGTTTATAATTAATGGTAACCATGAAAGATTTTAGATTTCTCCAGCAATACTATCAGCCATATCACTAAGGCGGATAAGATTTTTGGCGACCAAGGTTTCGAGAATCTGAAAATATAATACGTTTGGGAATGTACCAAGTCCATGGTCTTATACTGGACATCACGAATAATATGGCAGAGGATACGGGGCTAGGTACGTTCCACGAGTTGCGAAAGCGGGATCGAATGGAAACTATAAAGCTAAAGGAGACTGCGACCACACCGTATTGGTCTTCATATCTACGATAGTGGATAAACTTCAAAAACGACTTTTAAATACATAAAAGTTTGCTCCAATTTATTTCTTAGAGCCATCTAAAACTACTTGTTCATTCTACTTCTCAGTTTGTTAAGCCATACTTTACACTTTTTTCCCCTGCTGAGGGAATATGCTAATCGTACACTCTCGCGCTGCAAGTGCGATCAATTACTTTCTTGCAATGGCTTCAATAAAAATTTCTACTTATATATTTTGCTATTAATAGCCCAATTTGTATGCTCCTTACTTTTAATTAAACTACAGAAATTCGCCTTGATGCAAACGAGGTTCGCGCTGAGCATGGACAGAAGGTCAAAGTTCTTTGCCGCGGCTCTGACCCTCTAATGTGGATGGATCCTACAGGTCGCCGGATTCCTCAGATCAAACCGGATCAAGGCATCAACCGTCTTGTGTATGCCGTCGAGGTCCCGCCAGCAGCTGATGGCACTGGTCAGCTGGAGCTGAGCATCTCTGCTCGTCTCTCGGTGGCTGGCGAATACACATGTCGATCGGGCCGAATGCAGGCGATCAGAATCTTCCGATTAAAAATGATTTCAAGTAGGCTCTAGCACCGAGATCACAATTTGGTCGAGCCACATGGCTACCGCCTTGCAATTGGTGCGGGCATCAATCAAATTAATCAAATCTTGCTATTATTTGTGGAGATGTAGTAAGCAATACTTTGAGGTCGCCACTGAGAGTGATTTTACTCCAAATATAATATTTTATTTGGCCCATAGTAACTCTCCATTTGCTTCATCAGCTTTTCTCCCTTTCTAGTGAAGGATTATTGGACTAGGTCTCTCTGGCTAGTAAGCTATAAAGTTATGCTCATGGCAGATCTACTTCCTCCTGGTTGGATAGCCCTCAACAAAGATTTGATTTGCTTTACAACGCTGCAATTTGTAGTAGTTGTTTCTTAATAGTTATCTCTATTTATCTTTCTTCTATTCTGAGGACTCATCGTATAGCCAATTTGAACATGAATGGTTCACGATGATATTTGACAAGGTATATCAACATCTTACCAGCATTGCCGTCCTCTAATATTAAGATAAATTTCCATTGCTACGAAGGTATATGTTGAAGAGCTTGGAATACCAATCATGTTAGAAGATAACAACGCTCAGCCTGAGGTCTGCTACTTGATTTTCCTGAAACATTCTTGATAACGCAATCCTTAGAACTCTAATTCTCTATTCCGGTAAAAAGGTGCAAAGCTTGCATCTTTTACCGGAATAGAGAATTATTAATTTATTTAAGCGTGCAAATAAATCTATATTTTTGTAAGCTGACCAGAAAGCTAAAAGGAAGTTGTATTGAAAATTGCGTTAACCTAAATGTCTTACTAAAAGAAAATTGTAGCTAATTAGAGGAATCTTTCCTCGGCTTTAGGAATGATCGACCTAAGACTCTCTTAATAATACTCTCCCGCGAAACGATACTCAGCTATATTATTCTATATGTATTATAGTATATATACCACTATATACTAAAAATATACCATATTTTATACCGTTATTATACGCAGCATATTGTATTATATTATTATTGAATCAGTTTATCATAAGGTTAGTGGAAGCTCGGTTCGTCTTCATAGCCTATTTATGTTGCTTATAAAAATCTGTCTATTCCGGCCAAGTTAGCTTCTTTCTTACGACAGACCTATCAACACCACATCTCAGCTTTCTTGCAGTACTACCTCATCACTTGCAAATAAGAACTTGGCCATCCGTCAAATGACACCATGTTTTACTTCCACTATTTCTCTTACTCAGACCACCCTCTACCATTTGAGGGTGCATATTGAGAAGGAATCTGACCATAAGGACAAGCCTCTCAAGCAGAGCTGCCACTGTAAAACCACAGAATTCGTCAGCAAGTTGATCCAGAAAGAGGTCAAACATATTTAACACCGAATTGCATAATTGTTGGTTGTGTTACAATCACATCATGCAAAATTTTTATTCCCAAATTCTTAATCAGCTTTATGAAAAGCATTAGCTTAAGGAAAGTTTTTGCCTCCCTCAACTTCTAATTTTGATTCACTTTATCCTATCGTTTCGCACCATATTATTTTTTCAGAAACAGCTTCATAGAAAACTATTTTAGGAGGAACTTTCCCTTCCTTCTTCTTTATCGCTGTCCTAACTGCAGACGTTTTCTTGAATTATATGTTAAGCCAATGACCACGGCTAAATTGAGAGGGAAAACCTGATTGATGTTTTTCAAC